CCCCATCTCCTCACTGACCCGCTTGGCCACCGACATTGCGGCCACTCTGCGGGGCTGAGTGCAGCCGATCATGCCATAGTCAGTGTAGCCATCCTCGTGCAGGTACTGCGTCAGCTGAGTCGTCTTCCCACTCCCCGTCTCCCCTACCACAATCACAATGCTGTTGTCTCTGAGGAAAGAGAAAAAGTATTTCTTTGTACACCACGAAGAAAAGTTTTTGTGTTCGCCAGTCAAGTATCATCCTGCTCAGGCAGGAGCTGCCGTCACCCACGGACAGCAGTGCCGTTTGTTCCCCAAGAATACAGCTTCCAAACAGCCACGAGTCTAGGAGAATTCCTCACTTGGGTTCCCAAATGTAGGCCAATGTCCTGGGGATGCCCTGGCAGCCATACCTGAGGATGGAGAGCAGTTCCTGCTGCACAGCAAAGATAGGCAGGTATTGTCTCTGCTCCAGGATTGATTTCTTCTTGGCAAACTCACTGCTGGCTTCACTTTTTTCTTTCATGTGTTCAGCAAACTTCTGCTCAGTCCTAAGGACACATCACAAGTCCTGAAGCTGCTTCTCCACACACTCTGCTATACCCACAGCCCCCATCACCAGCTGAACACAGAAATTCAGAGCAAGTCCCTACTTGTAATCCACTTTGCCATCTTCCGTCACCATCTCATCCTTCTCCTCCTCTTTCTTGATCCCCATAATGTCTCCCAGTTTAGTGCCTGCCAGCTCCCAGTGCTTGTGCTGTGCCTGGAAAGATAGAGAGCAGCATAACTTTACCACAAGAAGCACAGACAATCCTAGTTATAAGCCTAGGTCCCACAATTTCCCAATGCAGAATACACATCCCACTCTTCATCAGGTCTCCCTCTTCCAAATGAATTGGAGCAGAGTTTTAAGACACTGCTATGGATACAGGCACAGGATGAGCAACCGCCTCCTAAGAAAATAGTATGCCATACTGCTACCATACTGCCTGCTGACTGTCCCTAAGCTGACTGGCATTCTTCCATCTGCTTTCTTCTTCCACAACTCAAATGTCCTTTGGATCAGCCTCCTCTGCACAAGTGCACAGTGATTCATGTCCCAGGCAGTGCCCAAGGCAATCACAGCACAGCAGCTGCTATGAGGCAATGCAGTGAGCTGGGCTGCCAAGATGTCCCAAGTTACAAAAATAAGAAATCCTTATCATCACTGCTGCCAAAGCCCAAATTCTGCAGAGTCCAAACAAGACTGTGAGGCACTACCTAACATGTACAGTGGGCAGTAAGCCAAAAGGTCACAGCATACCCTCTTACGCTCCTTCTGCTCCCTGTGCTTGCGCACCAGCTGGCTGCCTTTCCGGGCTATGATGGCCAAATCCGAGGTGGCATCCTTCACAGGGATAACTGGCTCTGGCTGGAGGGAGGAGGCATTGCTTCAGTACAAAGGGCTCACACATGCAGCCATCAGCACCTTCAGCTTCAGCCTCTACCTGCTTAGTGAAGACAATCCTTCCATCCAGGAAAGGAGGCACGAGGTTGTGCACCAACAAGTGAACTTTAGCAGAGTTATCCTCTTCAAAATCTTCATCTACTTCAATCCGATGGACCACACCACTGGTCAGCATGCGATTCGTCTCCCAGCGCTCGTTATCCTGCAAGAAACAACATATCATAAACACACAGAAGACTCACAGAAAGTCCCAGAGATCACACCAGAACACTGAGCTCAGGCCTGGGCACCACACTGGCAACAGGATGGAACTGATGGTTCCAACCTAGGGAGCCTGAAAGTGAGCATGAGGGAAGAAACAATAACTGGAAGTAGAGTACAAGAAACAGACTGGCCATACGAGCCACGTGGTCAGCAGGACTGCCTCCAAGGAAATGCAGGACAGACACTGCCCACAAGGCCCCCATACCACTCAGAATACGTGAAGAGCCTGGACATAGTCCTGCTCGTGTGCTGAGGGCAGCTGCCCCCAGCATCCATTGGGCCAATAGTGGACAATACTAGTAAATGTACCTCACACCCATAACAACAGGAGCACAGCCCTTTGCACTCCTGCTGCCTTGGAACTGCAATCCACCAACCACTTGAACTGCAAATTCTGCCCACACAAGAGATGCAGAGCTGGAATTTCCAGAGGGACACAATCACAGCTTCCCGGTGAGCCTTCCCTCAGCTTGGGCCAGGACCAAGAGTGTCCTTCTCCACTTGACAGCAAGGGCTCAGCCCATGGTCTCCCAAGGGGCAGCAAACCCCACATCTTGGCCCTACCTCATTGATCTGCCGCCGCTGTGCTGAGATCCGCTTCTGCCTCTGCTTGTGTAAGTGCTGCTCGCGCTTCTTCACGTACTCCTCAGAGGAGTAGGCCAAGGGGTTGTGAAACTCATCATAGCCCTCATCCATCATGTACCAGTCCCGGTCAGCTTGCTGAGAAGGGAGAGGTGCAGCACTCAGCTCTGCCCGTCCCCAGAGCCCGGCGGCCCCAAGCCCCTCACCTGCCCTCGGCTCTCACCCGCTGGTCATCCTCCCACTGCTGCCGCTCCTCCTCTGTCTCAAAGGTGATGCCCTCCTCGCCATCTGCGCGCCGCCCTGCAGGTGTGCCAGTTGGTCCAGAACGCTCCCAAGGAAACCCCACAGAGCTGACCCTGTGCCGCAGGGAAAGGGATTCCGCACTGCCCACCCTGGGCAGCCCAGCCCAGACTCCTCACCTCTCCCTCGGGACAGCCGTGGTGTGGCTCCGAGGTGCTTCCTGTCGTCAGCCCACTCGTTGTATTTGTACGACGGGGTGGGCAATGGCGTCTTGTCTGAGTACCTGCTCCTCACAGACCTGAAAACAGAGCAGGAGTGAGAAACTGGTGTCACAGCTCAGCGCTGCTCACAAGCACACTGTCCCCCTTCTGCAGCCCCACAGCTCACAGTCCTACCCCAGGCACTGGTACCTGTCCCGTTCCCGCCGGTCCGTGTCCCGCAGTGACGATGGCCGGTGGCTGCGCTCCGAGTCCCGATAGGAAGGCGTGGGTGAGGGAGATTCCCACTGTGAGCGACGGGTACTGCTGTAGCCATTATCATCTTCCTCCCAGCTGGAGCGAGATGGTGTGGCTGCATCTGGTAGAGGAGGTGGGGTTTGACACCTGATGTTCCAACAGCAGCCCCGAGCAACTGGAGCCACCTAACACCTTCTAGCAAGGAGCAGGGAGAGAGAGTATTCCTTTTTCCCTCCCTCTAAGGGCAGGGGCTGACCCAGTGATTCCAAGGAATTGCCAAAGGGCCACATTTCCATCACACAGACCCAGAACAGACCCCACTCGGCAGAGATCTGCCTGATTTTCACGCATCTCTGTCCTTATACAACCAGCAGGAAGCAAAAAAAAAAACCAAACCCCTCCCTGTTAAGTCTCAGACAAGAGCTCTACCGGGTCCCACTCCCACCTTTGGGCCGATGTCGGGGGCTCTCAGGTTCACTCCTCCTGCTGCTCCGTTCTGACAAGCCATCCCTTTCCGATCTGCTGCTGTGACGACTCCTGTCCCGCTCCTCTGTGAAAACAAAGTAGGATCAGGTGCCTATTGCACAAACAAGCTTCCCAAGTCTGCTGGAGAAATCACCACAAACGTTAGCTAAGAACTACAAACAGGCGGCAGGACAAGCCCAGACCCAAACCAAGAAGCACCACAAAGGTCTCTGAGCAGTTACCACGGTCCCGTTTACGATCGTGGTCCCGCTCCCTACTGCGTTCCTTCTTCCGTTCCTTCTCCTCCTTGGAGGAGGCAAAGACTCCGTGTTCCCGACGCTCCCTCTCCCGCTGCCGGCTGCGTTCCCAGAACTCCTCGCTGACACCCCCTGTGTATGAAGGTGTCTCCACGTGGACGGAGCGGTAATGCCTGGGCAGGCAGAGCAGAAAGAAGAAACGCTCAGGAGTGCTGAGCAGTAGCTGCCTTTCAGCTGGTCTCGTACGGCTCCAGTTTCAAGCTCTGCCATAGTGGCCCGCGGTCCCCCTCAGGCCTCCCTCTCTGCCACGCCGGAGGCCGCAGCCCCGTGACACCGCCTGTGCTCGCCCCCCCGCTCCCTTCCCGGCCGGGAGCGACCCTCGCGGGCATCAGGAGCCCTCCGCAGACCCCACCTGTTCCTGCGAGCTTTGCGGCTGCTCCGGTCGTCCTCATCCTCTTCCTCGTCCTCCTCCTCGGCGCTGCCCGCCTCGTCACGACCCTCTTCCCAGTCTTTGTAGGATGCGACCCGGGATCGCTTCCCTCCGGCCTCCTCCTCCTGGCGCTCCCGCCGCTTCTGCGCCGCCAGCACGTCCAGGCCCAACAGGGAGGTGCGCGGGGCCGGCGCCTTGAAGATGTGCTGTTCGGCGCCCTGCGCCCGCAGCACCAGCCCGCCCGCCTCACCGCCCGGGCTCGTCCCCGACAGCCGGTGCAGCGAGTCCTCGCTCGCCGCGGCCATCGCAGCCGCAGCGCCGCCCGGGCCCCCCCGCCGGCACCGCCCGCAGCTTCCTCAGCGACCGTAACCCAGCTCCCCGAGCGCCGCCATGGCCGCCCCACAGTGCTCCGCGGGAGGAGCCGCTCTAGCCACACGCACCATAGACACAGCGGCCAGGGCCTATGGGAGCGCCGCCACCGCAGGGTGAAAACACCGCTGGGCAAGACGCGCTATCGCTCCTGGCGGACTTCCGGCGTGGGGAACGCCCGCGGGGTCACGTGGCCGCTGAGGCAGCGGGGGAGTTACGGACGGGCGGGACCGGCGGCGGCAGCCCGGGGACAGAGAGCCCTCACGGGGACAGAGAGTCCCCCACGGGGAGAGCCCCCCACGGACACTCACACACCGCGGAGGGCGGCGAGAACCCCCCAGAGCCCCGGGTAGTCCCTGCAGCCCCGAGCCTTCCAGCCAACCGCCGGCGAAGGCTTCCAGGGACCCACCGGGATGTGGTGGGGCGAGAGGAGGCACATGCTCGCCCCTGCGCAGACAGGCCCATGTGCTGCACAGAGCCTGCGGACAGACAGACACACACACACAGTCTGCACAGAGACACAGCCTGCAGCCCGAGGCAGGACAGTTTTATTCCCCCGTGGCCCCTCAGCTGGCTGTAACTGTCTCCTTCACCCAGGCCAAGACGTGCTGCACGTCCACGTACACACCATACTTGGAGGCCGTGCAGGTCTTGTCATAGCTGAGGATGCCAGCTGCATACCAGGTGTCGTCATCAGGGTCCTGCACAGCAAAGGCCCCACCAGCATCCCCATAGCAGGTGTCCTCCCGCAGCTCACTCATGCCCACGCAGAAGGTATCGTTGCTGAGGATGGGCTGCACCCAGTAGGATGCATTCCGTGCCCCGTAGTACTCCTGGCACTGCTTGTCCTCAGCCACTGGGAGCATCACGTACTTCAGCATGTCAGAGAAGGCGAAGGTGGCACCACGGCCCCAGCCTGAGACATAGCCCACCCGCCCTGGCTGCACGTAGTCTTTCTGGGGCAGGCAGATGGGCATCACTTCCTCTCCAACAAGCACCTTCTGTTTGAGCTTCAGCAAGGCCAGGTCCACAGCCTGTGGGTAGCCGGGGTGCAGCACAATGCGCTCGATGCCCAAGGCGGGCTGCTCCCGGCTGCCCAGGAACAGCTGCAGCGTAGGGGCGATTTCCTCTGGATTGGTGTTCTCGCTGTGGTTCAGGTACACGTTCCTGCCAGTGGTTAGCAGCCACTGATCACTGATAAGTGTGGCCCCCACAGTGAGGTTGTGGCGGGTCACCATCCGGGCCTGCCAAGGGAAGCTGCCCTTCTGAGCCAGCAGACCCCCAATGATGCGCTGCATCTGCCTGGGGGGGTTCTTCGGCTTCCCACACACTGCATAGGGCAGAGCAGGGCCCAGGTTGAGCCCTCTCAGCCCAGTGGTGTTCAGCAGCCCCAGGGAACAGCCCCTACAGCCCTTTGGCTGCGCAGACTGCTCACAGCCCCAGCCCCTGTGACTCTGCTCTCACCTGGCTCGCAGACAGGCACCTCCTTACCAGCTTCAGGACTCACCCACACCTGATTCCCATCACATTTGTATGTCCCTTTGGAGAGAAACCAGAGTCAACATCCCTGCCCTGCAGCCAGGGAGGAACAGAGGTGCTTGTACCTCCCTGGGGCTTGGGTGAGCAGATGTAGCTACTCATACCCCTGAGGAAGTGGGGTAGGGGGCTGCATCCCTGGCATTGGGGCAGCCCCTTGCATCCCCTGGAGCTGGGGATGTGCCTCACCATCATCGGAGCCGCGCAGCCGGTAGTATGGGTCGCAGCGGTACCTGACCACCAGGTGCTCCACGTGGCCGTGTTCAATCTCTGCAGGCTTTGCACAGCTCCGCTCTGCAGGCAGACAATGCTCAGCTGGCCCAGAGCACTGAGCCCAGGACATGCTCTCACCTCCATTGGGTCCCTCCCTAGTTCCATCTTCCCTGACCCTGCCTGCTCCCTGCCAAGTCCCCTCCCCTTCGTCTGAACCCCAGTGCTCCCTGCCTGCCCTGGAAGGTACCGGTGGCAGCTGCAGTCCCCAGCACGCTCCAGGCCAGGCCAGCGATCAGCAGCTCTGCAGGTCTGCAGGGAGAAGAGAGCAGCATCAGCAGAGAGCTCCCAGAAAGCTCCCCTGCTCCCAGCCGTGGGCTCCACCAGGACCCTGTTTGGGCTCCTGTCCTGTCCCAGGAGGGCCCTCGGGGCTGCCCATCAGACAGCCAGGAGCCAGACCTGGACCCTGCTGCTGCAGAGGGCAAGGCTGCAGTGTTGGGACCTGGGGTGCTTCCAGGCCCAATATGGGTTCTGCCATGGCCCTCAGTAGGGCCAGGTCCTCAGCCAGGCCCTCAGCCAGGCAAGCAGGACAGACAGAGCACCGAGCACATGGAGGGACACATCAGTGTTGCTTACCCCATGCTCGCAGCTCCCTGCTCACAGCAGCCTCCTCCTGCAGGTCACTGCTGCTCGGGGCTCCCTCCTCACCCCTTTTATTGTCACCTTCCTCCCCCTGGTGCAGCCCAAGAGCTCCAGACCTCCTGACCCTGCTGCCTGCAGCCAGCACCTTTCCCAGCAGGAGGAGCACAAAAAGCCCCACCTGGCTCTGTGCCGGCTTGGCAGAGGCTCTCGAGAAGCTGCCAAGCCCCCACGGGAAGCCAATGTGCCAAGAGTTTCCCGGATTTTGTAGCTACAAATATGGGGGGGTCTGGCTGCAGACTAGTGCCCTGGCACTGTGACACCAGCTGAGGCTCACAGAGAGCAGACCAGCCACTGCCCTTGGCAAACCTGCCCTGTGCCCACACCTACCACAGTCCCTGCAGGGCACAGGTGACCACCCCAGTGCTGGCAGGAGAAGCTGGGTCCCAGGAGCCAGGTCCCATCCCATCCTGTGCCTGGCTTTGCTCACAGTCAGAGCACACCCACCTAGAGCTGGGGTACCAGTGCCCTGGGCAGTGCCACCCTGCTGGCCAAGGGGAGCAGCATGTCCCACACCAGGGACAGGTTCTGAGGGACTGCAGCCAATCCGGCTTCCAACCCGTAACCACCCCTTCCCACGCAGTGGGGCCACAGCCCTGTGTCCTGGCAGCCCCTGGCCCCAGGGGTGCAGGTTGTTTGTCAGCAGCATCGAGGGCTCAACCCAGGCTTACGGGAACTCACAGCAGCAACTGCTGGCCAGTGCCCAGCTGGATGTGGCTGGGCAGCAGGGGTGCAGGGCAGAGCACATCAGCCTATTCCCACGAGCAGTCTGCCTCCAGCAGGAGTACAGCTGAGGGGCAGCAGGAGAGGAGGGAGCCAGTGCTGCAGGGAAGCCACCCCAAAACCATTCATAGCATGTGGTGCTAGCCCCAGCCCTGAGCCATTGAAGCTTGGCCTGCCAGGGTCTTGCCAGTGCCCCCCTGCCCCTTGGATGCTCCAGCTCTTTGGGCTCAGGAGGGACATCTGTGGCTGGTCCCAGACACCCCAGGTGGCTTTCCCATCCTCTGTGAGCTTCTTCCCATCTCATGGGGCATTTGTGTTCCCAAACAATGCAGAGCTTGACATCCCTGATCCAGCAGCAGCCATACTTGTACCACCACACAGAAGGCTTGAGTCCAGCACCAAATGCATCAGGGCTTGGCAGCTCTGATCCGTGAACAGCACCAGTACCTTAGGAAGGTGCTGTGTCACCCTCAGCCTGAAAGAGCAAGAGTCTTCCAGGCACTCTCTAAAGCACATCAACACCTTGGCCGACAGATCAGGTGAATTCCCTGTTAGAGCAGTGATAGGTGTCACCTGCCCACAGCAGAGAATCTGGGACATGAAGAGGCTGGTGCAGGGGGCTGCAGAAGGGGGAAGGAGGTTGGTGATGACCCTGACACGAGCTGAGTGCCACTCGGAGCAGGGGCAGGAGCTGTAAACAACTTTGGGGAAGTGCTGTGGCGCAATCCTGCTCTGCAGGGTGGACTGCGAAAGGCTGCCAAAGGAAATGCTGTGTCCAGGGCAAGCTCTTGTTCAAGCAAAGCCCAAGGTAACTTCAGGAAGTTCAGGGTGAAGGAACAGTCAGTGCTGGAGGCTCCAGAAACAAAACCAACAGGCAGAAGCACTACCAATCAGACCTTTTCCACAATAACAGGGCATAACCGCAGCCATCTCCAAACAGCTGTGTACTGGCAGCAAAGGGAAGAACTGGCACCCAGCAACCCCAAGTGCCTGGCCTCGGGCAGAGATCTCTATGAGGGGAGCCCTGGTGCACTTCTGTCGGTTCATACCAGAGCTCAGCTACCCTGCAGCTTCTCCCACCAGAAAAGTGGGAGCAACATAGAGAGCCGATCCTGCTTGGCTCAGGAGATCTGGGCTGTGTCCCTCCAGCCCATGAGGCATCCCCGGAGCAGCATACACGACTAGGTGAGCCAAATGTTTATTGATACTTGGGATGGGTTCGGCTGCCCACAGGAAAGCCAAAACACAGCCCTGGGCAGTGGCACTGGTGTGGAGGTCCCCTCCCCTGCTCCCCACTAATGCAGCCCCTGCTTCACCCATCAGAGGCTCTTCTCAGGGCCTGGAACCAAGACCTTGGCTTGGTCCCAGCCTGCCCAGCACTGGAATTATCAGACTCATTCCTGCTCAGCCATGGCCCCTCCTGGCTAGACCTTGGTTCTGCAGCATGTCAGCACCGGTGATCTGCTCCAACCGCCTCCATGACGTTCTTGAAGCCCTGCTCCCTAACCAGGGACAGTGCGAGATGGCAGGGCCAGCCTGGCACTGCAGCTCAGCCTGGTGGTGCACTGCTTGGGCACCAGTACAAAGTTGTTCAGAGCCACCCTGGGCCCAGGGGCTCCCTGGGGAGGTGCCTGGAGCCCCCTCACCTCAGCAGTTCCTCCAGTTCCCGCTTCACTGCCCCCACCACCGGTGGCCCATGGTACACAAGGGCTGTGTACAGCTGCACAAGGGAGGCTCCGGCACGGATCTTCTCCAGGGCATCCCGCCCGCTGCTCACCCCACCCACCCCGATGATGGGCACCCGGCCTGTGGGCAGGCACAGGGTCAGGAAGGCACAGGCGATGAGGGCATGCACCCCCCAAGCCCTGCTCTGCTCCCACCTTGGGTGAGGCAGTACATCTCCCTGATGGTCTGTGTGGAGAGCTCCCGCAGGGGCTTCCCGCTGAGGCCCCCGGGCTCCATGCGCTGCCTGCTCCGGAGGCTGCTGGGGCGGCTCACGGTGGTGTTGCTGACAATCAGCCCATCCACACCTAGCTGAGGGGGCCAGCAGCGTGAGGACACAGCAGCAACAAGCAGCTCCCCCTCATCCCATCCCATCCCATCCCATCCCATTCCTGGGATGCCGGGTCAGGGCTCCCCCAGCACATAACCCCAGAAACATGCCTGGGCACAAAGCAGCTGCCCCTCACTGCCTGGACTATCTGGGTCACTCAAGGTCTGGTTGACACACATAGGTCCTCACAGACTCCAAGCTACCCAGGATACCACCCCTATGGCAGCCAGGGAGCTGCAGGTGCACCTATCTTTCAGAGAGGAGACCTGTCAGGAGTGCCATGGTCCTGCCCCCGTGCTGTGTGAGGTGAGGCAGGAGGCACACCAGCCTCCCCTTCCCATCTCACCTCGCAGATAACGCTGGCAATGTCGCGCTTGTCCTGTGGAGTGAGATCAGGGGCGATCTTCACCAGCACGGCTGGCTTGTGCTCGCAGGGCAGCAGGTCCCTCTCCGCCAGCACCTGCGGGTGCACATGGCAGTGCATGGCAGGGAGAAACCTTGTGCCCTGACCAGGAGCCACGGGCACCAACCAGCACAGGGACAGGCCCTGCTCCTCTACATGGCATTCCTGACAGAGAGGCACCCTCAATACAGGGCCTAGGGCACACGGTCAGCACAGGACCCCGAGGACACCCAAAGCCATGGGGTGGGTGACTTGCTGCCTCTGGCAGGAACAGAGTGGATGGCGATACCTCACTGCTCCTGAGCCCTCTGCTGGGGTACAGTGCCCTGGTGCACCCCACGGCAGCAGCTGATCAGGGGACATCTCAGCAATCCTGCCCCCCACTCCTGGGAGCTGCCCCACTTATCCCTGTGCCAGGGCAAACCCACTGGCTGGAGTGGAGCAGACACTGCCAGGGCACATGATGCATCCAGTGCTGCAGCTGCAGGTTGGGCTGGCTGGGGGAAGTGACCCACCTTTCTCAGCAGGTCCTGCAGCTCAGTCTTGCCCTGCAGGTCCCGCAGCCCTGGGGTGTTCGGGCTGGACACGTTCACAACCAGGTAGTCAGCCAAAGGGCCCAGTGTCCGGACTCCAGCCACGTAGTCAGCTGCAGCGTCTATGGAGCTCTTGTTCTTGCCCAGGTTGATTCCAAGGGGCATCCCCGCTGGAACATAGACATGGCTAAACTAGGGCAGGACCAACCCCCACTCAAGGGCCAGAGCACCAAAAAGGGAGGCTCTAGGACCAGCTAAAATCAAGATGGGGATATGCAGCCCATGTATTTCATGGGAATGGGCCTGGCACTGTCCCACAGCCACAGGAGCATCGCCACAGCTGCCCCACTCAGCACCTCCCAGCACCACAGCCTGGCAGAGGTTGCTGTCAGGATCTGCCCAGCTGGGGTCCTCTTAGCTTTGGCTTTAACATGTTCTGCCTAAAGCAGTATGTGCAGCTCGGTCCCAAAGAAAATGGCAGGAGAAAGGTGACTAATCACAATCCCAAGGGGAGAGGCTACAGCCCCAAGAGGGTCCTGCTGTTTGAGTGTACCTTGCTCTGGCCAGGGTGCTCCTGTGCCTGGACACTGGTGTAACACACCTTTTCTGGCCTACAGCTACCTGGGAGACCCCCAAACCCACCCTGCAGACCCCAAGAGCAAAGTCTTACAAGCTTGTCTCACCACCAGTGAGCCTGGTCTGCGTCTCCTGGCGGGCCCGCAGCCTATGCTCCACTGCAACGTGGCCATGGCTATTGAATCCATACCTGCACCAGGACAGACGGTTCAGGGCTGGGCTAGTGTCCACAAACCCCAAACAGAACACGGGAGAAACAAGGCAGATGCGTAGTCTCTGCAGCTCTGCTCAGCACATCCAACCCAAAAACCACCACAGCACCAACCACGGAGCTGGGACAACCCAAATAACCCTGCACTGCCACGTGCACCCGCAGGTGCTGGCACAGAGGGACTTGCTGCCCTATGAGTGCAAGCCAGACATGGGGTGAAAATCACCCCTGACCTTCCCCAAATAACCACCCTCGAGGTGGGCAGACTGCAGGACACGGCTGAACACTGCCCTCAGATCCCACCTGTTGATGACCGCCTCGTCCTCTGCCAGCCGGAAGACTCTGGGCTTGGGGTTCCCTTCCTGGGGCTTGGGTGTGACGGTCCCCACTTCCACAAAGCCAAAGCCCATCTTGTATAGCCCATCCACAGCCTCACCCTGCTTGTCAAAGCCAGCGGCCAGGCCCAGGGGGTTGCGGAATCGCTGCCCGAGGACTCGCACCTCCTGCGGGGACAAGTCTGAGTCAGAGCCCACCGACCGCAGAAACCACAGCCGGG